AATCATATTATATAAAATTAAAATTCATAATATTTATAACGTACAAAAAAAAAAAACCACAATAATACTAATAATGTATATTTTTACAGCCATAACTAATACAATGATCATAAATAATAATATTACCATAGTGTTTTTAATCTAAAACAAACAGTTTTGGTTATCTACCTGTTATCTTCTTCGATCGTCTAACCTCTACTCCATCTTCTTCTCTCTCTTTTTTTTTCTATTTACTTAATGTTTTTTTTTTACCAGGTTGTGCTTAACATTTTTACCTTTGGGATACCTTTCTATGAGCCGTTCTAATTATATTATGTCCATTCAAATATTATACCAACCTACTAACTAATCTTTGCACATTTCTTTTCTGTTCTTTCTACTTCTGTGCGGGATTAAGTCTTTGCCAATTTTTACCCGTTTTTTACTCGTTTTTTTTCGCCACATCCGACGACGACGACAATGTAATTTTTTTTTTAACGCGTCCTAATATATATTATATGTTTCGTGTAGATTTGCTAGCCGAGACTTGTTAGCCGAATTTTAATGGGTTTCAGGAAATGGGAGTATTGTTGCGGCGGCGTGGCCTTGTAAGCAACCACGTGCGGCTGTTAAACTCTCCTCTCTCTCCTCTCTCTCTCTCCGCCTACTCTGCGCTAGTCGCCGCCGCCGCCGGTGCACAATCCTTTTTTTTTTAAATATATTTTTCAACCGTACAACGATTTTTTACAGAAAAAATGTTATTTTTCGAAAACGTCAATGGCAAACGGCGGTGAAAACTAAAAAAAATAATACCGCACGTGTTGTCTGCGCCGTATCGTCTGTGTCGCGCATAATACAAATTATATTACAATTAGGTAGGTAGGTAGCTATATAGTACCTACACACACCGGTAATATAATAATATTGTATCCGGTAGTCGAGTTTTTTATTAGTTTATTTTTTTTTTGTTTACCAATCGTTTGGCGCCACCACTCCGATGCGGTAATAAATGTAGTGGCACAACGGTAAAAAAAAATACATACTTATTTTTGGTCCAACTAAAATTATTAATTTCTAGTTGGACTAACTACGTGAAAATAGTTGGCCACACTAAATTTATTAACTATTTACTTTTAGTTATTCCGTTTATTAATGTATTGGGTCCCTATATATATTAGTTGGACCGCCAACATTGTCTGTTGTTTTTTGGTTTTATCTCTACCCATCCACCATAATATTATAATATCGGTCGACCGTTTGGGAAAATTAACAGACTCCTATGAAATAAAAAATAACTAAATGTGCCATATGGAGAGGAGCCGTCGACAATGACGGGGCACACACTCGTGGCCGTGCATAAAATTGTGTTTCGAGACGCGTTAAAATCTTAACACACACCACAGTGTTACTTGGCATATAATACACGTCGTATATAATATGCAAATCAGACCGGACGCCCACCTGAAAGTCATCCCGACAGACCCGGGAAGGAATCCAATCTCTATGTACAGACACAGAACCGTCGGTCGCAGCAGACCTCATCGTCCTGTCATCCCGTTTTTCGCCGTCGACGGATGTATCGCTTTAAAAAAAAAAATTACCAAACAAACTAACCGAATAGAAAAAAACAAATCTCATCAAATCTCCGCCATCATCGGCACCGTGATACACTTTCTTACGGGTCGTCAATTCCCCCCCCCCCCCCAAAAAAAAAATAATAACCGGTTGGGGCCGTGTGCGCTCTGATTTGTCAACAACAATACTATTGACCTTAAACGACGTTATATTTTTATTTGCATTAGTAACATATTAATTTTGATCATGAATTATAATATACCGACCACTACCACCGATGGGTCCGACGAAAAACGAGTCTTATGACGGTCGCCAAGACAGAAGAGTTTATCTATGTAAACATTACATATTTTATAAACTGTGTAAAAAAAATATTATCCATACTCGCATCAACTAGAACGGTGGTTGGAATAACTAAATGTAATATATTTAATACGCATTAATTATAGTTGGAATACTACTAAGTAAACAGATGTTGTGCCAACTAAAATATAGTGAAGTTAGAGCAAAATTATACATATTTTAGTGGGAATATCGACCATAAATTTTAGTCGATCCAACTATGTACCGTTTCACGGAAAACAAAAGGGACGTATATAGTTGGTGTAGTTAAGTTTAGAACTAAATGTATAGTTGCTTTAACTAATCATATTTAGTTGGCCGGACTGTCTTAGTTATTCCAACCATAGTTCTAGTCGACCGAACTAAATGTATAATTGCTTTAACTAATCATTACTATAGTTATTCCAATTATGTATTTAACGTGTCCCTGTATTGACCGCAATGTTAGTTGGTTGAATTATAAGTTTCCTTCAACTCCATCATCCGTGTTGTCGTACACACACATGGTCGTGGTGGTGTCGTGTGAAACCTAACCGGCAAGTCGCGTTTACTCGTGTGTCGTCTCATGCTATATAAGACCTAACCCAAGCACACGGTTGTGAGATTTATTACTACCGCCGTCTTCGTCGCCGTCGCGGTTGTCGTCGGAGAAGGAAACGACCAAATCCACCTAACCGGAGAGTGGCAAATTTTTTGAAAATTAGTTCCATGTACTTACAACGTGTGGCCATATGCCGCCCCGGCGGTGGATTGCCAAGTCGAGTACACCACCTAACCGTGAATCCTCTCCGGCACAACCTCCCCCCCCCCAAAAAAAAAAAAAAAAATACAAATCGGTCACAGTCGTCCGGGAGCAATTATCTCACTATCCGACCAATATAACATATAGTACAACTATGTATGTGTGCGTGGGAGTGTATATGGGCAAAATGTACACACAAACGCGTGTCGTCGTTTGATATTATAATATAATATATTTCTCCTCGAGTCTGCACCGCCGACGGTACATGTGCGTAAACCACCTGACAAGTGTCATGGAAGGTTTTTTTTTCATACATACACTAAATTACATTGTTTGCTGCCGGTAAATATTTGTTTTCGGGCTAGCCGCACTCCTCCCCTCGCCCCTTTTTTAGGTTCGCTCCCTGCGCTCGTTTCTTTGAGCTGTTATTTAAATAAAAAACGCATCGGCTCGATGAGTGTCATTATCGGTTTTTTTTTATTAATTTACTATCATCGGCCGAGTCAAGTCTAGGCGATTGTGTCGGACCGACGACGAGCACGAACCGGGAGGGAGGTGGTTTAGATGTTGTGTGCAAAAATATTTAGGGGCCTACCTACGCTTTTTTTTTTAAAAATCCCAAAAACTATATACCTATTATATAAAAAAAATAAATCTGGACTCTGTCAATACATACTAGATGATGCTCATTCATCAATCGTTTGTACCTACCTACCTTTTTTTTTTTTTTAGAAGGTAGTATTGTAATATTCTTATTTTTTCCCCTCCCTGCATGAATAGGATACTAATGAATGATTGCGCGCTGTAACTATATTCGACTAGAGCAGTGTTGGGCTACCGGACTTGTATTCATAGTATTATAGTTGGAGAAAACAAGTTTATTGAAAATACATTTTTTTATTATATTTACCATTATATATTTGATATCAATACATCTTAATAACGCTACTTGAATAATAATTTATTGTAACTATGTTTGGAATTATTCGAATGGTGATGTTTAGAACTATTGGAATAATTATTTTTTGAAATTATTCGAATAATGTGTTATCTAGATGATTGTATTTTAGATAAACGTTTCTGTTCGAATGATGCACAACTCGGACCGTCGGGGGGGGGGGGTTGACCCGTATCACCTTAGTCGTCGTGCCCTCCCCGGGGGCGATTTTTCTAACGGATACGAGTAGGGGGTAGTTGTTTCACCCCTTTCCGTGACGTGTTTAGCGCGAGCTAGGTACGAGGGCGGGTTAATGAAACACAAAAAACCTGATTGTGTGTGTACTCCCTTGGCTCTTTTTTTTTTATGTATACATATATAATAATAATATGCTCATTGTTGTGTGTATGTTGCACGCAACCGCCGCCGTATATATACGGGCACGATTGTGCAATAATCCGAATAAAAAAAGAGGGTTCGCCGAATGTGTATACATATATCGATGGGAATAATGAACGGGCAGCGGCCTAACATAAGAGGGAAACGCACATACACACAACACCATATCGACAAATTGGTCGCGACTTAATTGAACGGTCCGGGGAATGATTAACAAACAAAAAAAACGGAGGTTTTATTTTTATGTAGATGTATAAAATATATATATAATTTTTTTTGCGAGCGCTCGTGCCAAAAAATCACACTATGTTTTTCGTGCCAAAAAAAAAAAAAAATCCCGTAAAAATAGACCAGACTTTAAGATTTAACGGAGTTCGCCAAACCGTCAAACTTACAATAATTATTATGATATACCTGTAAAAACTTAAGTTAGGTGACTGGCGGCGACCATTGGGGTATACCTTTATACACTTATTATATAAATTAAAAATATTGTTTTTGCGGTGCTTATGAATTATTTACATGTAGTAGGTACACGAAATTTGTTTTGCTAATGTCACACAGCAATATCATAATATATTAAATTAATATATGGATATATACCACCTATACCGTGTAGAGAGCATAATACGAAATGGGGTGTTTGAAAACGAGTACGGTATTTGGTTTTTTTTTCACACGGCAACCGGTTTTTTTATTGTTATTACTTTTTTTTTTCTTATTATTTAAATTATTTCTTCCGCTCCGAACGCGTGCTGGCGAAACGTGTGCCGGCCGGCCAATTTTACATAACATTATTATTAATATTATCCAACGTAGGTAAAGCCTGCCTTCTTTATTATAGCTGCTACTTCTTTTTCTCATACTCCTCCTTCTTCTTCTTGTTCAACTGAGCGGGGGCACAACGTGTGTGTTAGTCTCGATACACACATTACTCTTAAATATATAATATATTTTTAAGCGTGTACCAACCTCAAATGAACCAAATATGATGCTCATCGCACGTGTGATATTGTTTGTTTACAGGGTCGAGGTAGAAAGCGGGGCGTGAACAAAGGCAGAGACGGTCTCGGATGGTCGAGTGTAGACCACGGGAACCCCGAGGTAAGCCTCCGTTGTATTTAATTATTTTTTTGTTAATTTATAATTAAAAAAATAATAATAATAATAATAAGAAAACAGTCGAGTCCGACCGACGCGTATGGCAAACACAATTATTGTGGTTTGAACATAATCACAGATTAGAGTAAAGAACCAGGACTGAATTTATCGATTGTAGGTACAACAATTTCGTATCTACAACGTTGGTTACACCGAGTTGAGGCGGGTTTCGGTAAATGCCCAAGTAATAACACCATCATCTGATTTTTGTATCTTATTTGTGTCGTACCTATTACGGGTATTAACCTAATGGAAACCGATCACCGATACAATTTTAGGTATCTAGTCAGGTTTGATCAGATCAGGCGAGGTTCTGTTTAGAGGGGGTTGCATGCGATTCAGTTTAGGCAAAGCGTTCCAGTCTGCGTAAATGCATGTTGTATATTATTGACTGTAATTTGTTTCAATTAACCGTCGACCCTGTGGTCTGTGGTGGCGGCGGCGGAAGGGGAAGGAATGTTTTTTAGGGTTCAAAAAAAGTAATAATAAAACCGCCTTAAGCCTTAATCTCTAATAGGTTTTGCACCGGTGCACTCGACGACAATGATGATGATGATGATGATGATAATAATAATAATAATATTCGTCGATTGCGGTCAACGGGTTTATTATTTTTTCTTAAGGTCTTGGTTGTCGAGATTATAATTCTTTTTTATTGACAACGAGGTGACAACGTGCAGCGTTGTGCATACTTCTAATATAGTATTATATTATCATGGAGTCGTGTGGTTTTTCGGTGTGTTACATGATCGTTTGGCGCATAGATAAATTTTTTATTGATTTTTTTTTTGTTTTTTAGCAGCCGGACACACCGGTTTGTGTGTGTGTATTATGAACGTCGTCGTGCATTATTTACGAACCGTTGATTTTTTTGTTTTATTTTTTTTTTTTTTTTGTCTACCCACTTAAATCCCATAAAACGCGATCGGATCGAACGTAATCGAATTAAAAAAACAAAAAAAATATTTTTAAAAAAATACTACACTTGGTCTGTTCCTCTCTCTCTCTTTGCGTGGACCTTTTTTTTAATTCCCTTTACAATTTACCTACGTGCCTTTGACCGCTATAAAAATTCTTTTTTTTTTTTTTTTTAATTTCATTTTTGCATTACAACGGCGGCGGCGGTCAGGTGAGGTAGCCGATACGAATTTTGATCTTCGCCATTTGCATAAAACGCTATTTTATAATTCAAAATAATTCCTAGCGGTCACCCATCTGGCGGCGGTGGCGCGTATATTATGTATAGGTATGAATAATACAAAAACGATCGGTGTTTTTTTTTTTGTAAAATTATAATACACGAAACAAAATCAAAATAATAATAATATTTCAATGCGTTTTGTTTGTTTGCTTTTTTGACTGAGGCTGAAAAAAAATAGAAATTGTTTTTCCCAACTGCATAAATCGACCAATTCTTACTCAATTCGATTATCATGTAACTAATTCAGTTCAATCTGTATCGATATCGTTTCAGAATTGTTTTTGGTATACTGTTGTGTTGTATTGATCTCCTATAGAAGAGTACGGTAGTGATGAGCAAAAAATCGGTCTTTGTCTTGTCAGCACAGCAGCTCCCTATTAAAGCAATGCAATTGCTGAATATGTAAACAAACCAACCCCCCCCCCCTCAAATCAGAGTAACCACTGCGGTAATTCTTTATGAGAAATTATTGTTTCAGAACTGAGCTTCACTGAGAATTTATTCATTGTTATCACCGTTATTTGATAGACATTTTGTTGATAACATATATTTTATTGAAAAAATATTTTGTACAATGATTTTATTATTGGAATTTGGCCACACTGCGTTGAGGGGGGTTTCGGTTATCACTTATCAGTTACAAGACCAAGATCAATTTTGCTTAAGTTTAAGGTGTGTGTAAAAAGGTCTGGCCAACAGAGTCGTTGTTTCTTTTGTGGTGACTCTCCGTGGACAATCTCGAGGAAGAGGATTCGACTGGAACTGTCTTAAAATGCGATATTATCGGTTATCATTATTATTTTTTTTTTTCTTGAATTATGAACCGTAGTAAACGTCCGGAAATCGGTCTCTCGAGTCTTTCCTAAATATGCCTTTCATACATCACATCATGCTGCCGGACACCGCGCCCGCATTGTTGCGTTGAACACGGTTCCTAATGCACACACACACACAGGCAGGTAGCACCATACTTTACCGCATAATGATGTGTGTATAATGTATACCTATATACTTATAGTACAATTGTGTGTGTGTGTATGTATATGTTGACTCGTCGGAATTCGTCGGTTCTCTTCCCTCGACCGTTTCCCCACGCCGGGCCCAGCTATCTCCATTATATCATAGCACAGGACTTTCCTCAGGTAACATAATAATATATATTATATACCATATAATATATTATTAATACCGCCGGAAATATTTACGCACGTTAGTAACTTTCCGCGGTCCCGACCACTTGTACGATATTTTCGGCGCTAAATTTAGCCCTAAGTTTAAACCAATCAAATGTCGTTATTTGGAAATCCATTGTTTTATCTGTGTATGTCCACCTGTCGGCGGCAATCGGTTTCTTAGCATGTACAAATAATATTACATCGTTTATCATACAAACATCATCTTCATCATCGTCTTCGTCATAATATTGTTGTGTCGTTTGACCGACTGGCTTCCGGTTTCCGGTTTTTGTATCCACCGCGTTTATATGTCTTTTCTCCTAAACAACGTTGAACAATAAGACTTAAGTCAGTCTGGCTAGTTAGAAGGGCAAAACGTTAAAACGTTACCCGTATAGCGTGGTGATAAGATATCAATGATAATATGGCTGAATTTGTCATACAGAGTAGTAGTACCAACGTGGAAGAATTTGTTTTTCAAAAAATAAAAAAAACAAGTCTCTGCGCCAAAGTCCAACGACCATAGAGGGGGGCGTTTTATGGGATTTTATTATAATATTGTGTAGTGAAATTTTTTTTTTTTGCCAACACAACTGATAATAAAGTGCCATCACAGATGATCACAGCGGCGATCACGCTGTGGCTTCTAGATGATAATAATATTAATAATATGATAGGTACTTACCTACCTATGTAGGCCGATCTATACACCCGAAGGCCGTGCGATAAAAATCGGCGGCTGCGACCCCGGTAACATTTTTTTATGTCGCCGCCACACAGTTGTATTGCTAATTACCTGAATAATATGTAAAAAAAAAAAATATAAAAAATCGCGGCGCACGTGGACTTAATGAGAGAAACAGTGCAACACGGTAGTCGAGACAATGGTGTGTATGTGTTTGCATATTATGTCACGCAGCGCTTCGAACGGACACAAATATAATTCTGTTGGAACCACAGATGTATGATATATTATTATTAACTAGATTATCAATTAGATAGCTAAGTGTATAGTGCTAGTGGAGACAATATTGAAGTTGCCAACAAAAAACAAGCAGCCGGTTTACTTGAAATTGAAGAAATTCGTGATTTTATTGATAAATCAGCTGATCGATGATCGAATTCACTTGTCCCAGCAACAACAACAACAACAACAAGACTTGCACGAGTCAAATTTTTTCCCCCGTTTAATATAATGATAACAAAAAAGGAAGAAGCGTGCGCTGGTTTTTTATTCCATACGACAATACTATTAGCGTTTTTAAAAAAAGAAATGATTACATACTATATACCTACCTACTATACTATACTATTGAGGGGGGCCTTATTCCCGCTTCTTGTGTCTTCCTCCGTCCGTGTGTGTGCTGTGCTGTGTGTTCAACGAGGTCCCACCGACTCTTAAAAAATACAACAAAAAAAAACCGGTCCATGCACCACTCGATGAATATAATAATAATAATAATACATATAATGTTATGTGTGCACGACGGCTGCGGCGGACCCCAAAAATAAAAAAAAACAGACAAGCGAATAAATCTGACGGCAGAGAGATAATCATCGGCGTGTGTGTGTGTATTATAATATTATGTTTTACGACGCCGCCATATTAGACACGGTCGACGATGGTTTTTCTTTTCTTTGTTGAAAATCTTATGGAAAAAAATGTATCGTTGTTTTCCGGAAAAAAACAGCCACATTACAAAATTCACACGATAGACTTTCGACATATTCGACGACAACAGCCAAGTCCAGTTATACAATAACCCCTCGGCAGCAGTTTGTTGTAGTGTATGCTGACGGATAGATTCAATTTTCAATTTTGCCTTTTTCAAACGGGTAAACACAACGATATTCTGTTGGCCAGCGGCGGAGGACTTAATCTTTAAAACGGCACCTCGTTTTCTCTATCGACCTCTGCTTGTTGTATGTAGTTTCCAGTGCACATATTGTACGAGTGAGTGCATAATAATCGGTTACAATGTTGTCAAGGGCAGCAGCAGCAGCAGCAGCACCGAACGGACGGGTAACCAGTTTTTTCTTTGGCCGAAAACCGTCTGCCGCTGTTGGTCGAAAACAAAACCGGTATTCCAGAGACACGGGGCGGCGGTATAGTCAATATTGTTTTGTGTTCGGTAAGGCCGCAGAGTTTGGTCGGCTAAAAAAAAGTATATTAAAAAATACAAACGCCGAAGAAAAACCTTACCAGAGATAGATGACCAGGTCTTCGCCGTGACATTTGGTCATTGGACCACGTCCAACGAGTGTTGTGTCCTATTCTCCGTAGCTAGATAGAAGAGCCCTTCCCACCGCCGCCGCCTTTCAATCTATATTCGGACGCCTTGACCTTAGCTGTGAAAATTCTATTTTTCTTGTACCCACCCACCCTCTTCCCCGCCGACCGTTGGTTTTTGGACCCAAGCCCAAAACTCGGATTCCGTTACGGGCTGTTGTGTACCGGTTGTACCGTGTGCTAAATTAAAAGAATAAAAAACATTAATCCTGAAAACCCGGGTCTTGTTGGGTTTGTCCCCCATTCGCCGCTTCTAATGCTTTGTTGTCGCGCAGCCTATTAAGATCTCAGTCAGTCAGTCGTTGATTCTTTCTTCCATTATGATGTTGATTATGTTGGTTCAGCTAAAAGTTCTTGTCAGGTTGTCTTTTCGAGTGAACGCTCTTTATGCAACAGCCATTGGTCGTGTTATTTCTACCTTTTATCCGTTGTCATTAGTTAGTGTGCTACCCGGATATATTTTGTACTGCTGTACTTGTTCAATAACTCGGTTATGTAATTTAATGTTACCACGGTTACCAACGGGTTATAAACAACAATGTTTTCCATGTCATTGACCACTTCGTACTCGTGCGTTCTTTGGTCAAATGTCTTTTATTCGAGGGAAAGAATGAATGGCTACCAAGTGGGTTTGGGTTTTCTTTAACCCATTTTGCGCTCCTTACTCACTTGTCGTCCCATGTAGTCAATACTCATTAGAGCGATATAGAAATTAATACGATTTTGTTCTGTTTGTGTTCGCAGATATTCTCGTCCAAGTCCGAGCTGCAACTTCACTCGCAGCTGCACGTGAAAGACGTGAAACCGTACAAGTGTCACCAGTGCAACAAAACGTTCGCCAACAGCTCGTACTTGAGCCAGCACACCCGCATCCATCTGGGCATCAAACCGTACCGGTGCGACATTTGCCAGCGGCGGTTCACCCAGCTCAGCCACCTCCAGCAGCACATACGCACCCACACCGGCGACAAGCCGTACAAGTGCAGACACCCGGGCTGCACCAAGGCGTTCTCGCAGCTGTCCAACCTGCAGTCGCATTCGCGGTGCCACCAAACGGACAAACCGTTCAAGTGCAACTCGTGCTACAAGTGTTTCGTCGACGAGGCGGCCCTGCTCGAGCACATACCCAAACACAAAGAGTCCAAACACCTCAAGACGCACATATGCCAGTATTGCGGCAAGTCGTACACGCAAGAGACGTACCTGTCCAAGCACATGCAGAAGCACGCCGAGCGGATGGACAAGAGGCCGCCCATCATCGGCATACCCCGGGTGGCGCTGGAAAACGGCGCGTACTGGGGCAAGATGTCGCCAGACACGGCCAACAACCTGGTCGAGGCCATCAACCAGCAGCAGCAGGAATGCCTGCAGCAGCAAAGCGGTGGCACTGGCGGCAATAGTGGCGGTGGCGGCGGCGAACCCATGCAAAACGGCGGTCCCGGCTCGGCGTCCGCGTCCGCATCGGCCGCCGACGACCAGCCACCCCGTCACTCTCACTTGCCGCCCGCGCCGCCCGAATACCTGTCCGAACCGTCGGCGCCCAAGACCAGCACTTCGGCGTTCACGCCCATCCAGTCGTTCGGCCTGCCGGGACACCCGCCGCCGCCGCCTCACCACCAACAGCATCACCATCAGCAGCACAACCCGGGGCCGCCTATGTACCTGCCCTACAACCATTTGTCGTTCCCCGGGGCCAAGCAGCTCGCGCACGGCCACCAGCTGTCGCCCATGCCGGGCCCGATGGACATGAAGTCGCCGTCTGTGCCGAACAGTTTTCCCAACCAACTGATCTCGCTGCACCACATACGCAACTACTCGCACCAGCCCAGTCCGTCGTCCATCATGTCCGAACACCTGTTGCACGGCATGAAGGACAAGGTACAATGAGCCACCGCCGCGTGTGTGATAAGAAACCGCGCCAGTGATAAGACAATGTATAAAAGGACGACCTCCGACCACGACCACCACCACCACATGTATTACACGCCAGTCGACGACGACAACGGTTTTACTTCTCTTCCAAAACGGAATACGATTCGTTAATGTTTAATTCGTTAATTTGTTTTGTTTTTTTGTTGATGTCGTGTCCCCGTCATCGTTACAACAGACTCTCCCGTTCGCGTTTTAACCTTTAGTATAATAAATTAAGTTTTGGTGTTAAATTATTATTGGACGAGTATACGTTTTTATTATGCCCGGCATCGTCGCTAACGTATTTTTTGTAAATAAATAGAAAAAAAACAAAGAAAAACTCAATATTAATATATATATTTTTTTTTTCAAAAATTGTCTGTACTCAAGACTGAGGTGTACATAACAATAATAATAATATTATAATAAAAAACCACCAAAACGGAATCCAAAATGGTAAAATATTAACTAAAAAAAAAATGCAGTTTGTAATATTTTTTTGAAATGTTATCGACTACATTTTTTTTTCATTTAGATTTTACCATTAAACGTTATTATTATTTATTATTATTTAATATATATATATTTTTTTTTTTTGAGAACGTTAGGGACACTTTTTTTTTTGTTTTTTCAAAAGAGGTCAGTCGCACGGATCTCAGTAAATCGTTTTAGATGACATTAATATTTGGTTTTTGAAAACTTACTGAAGCGAAAAATCACTGTAGCAGTGTGTGTGTTAATCATATTTTCTCATGTGATTGTTACCATTTTGTAATAATAATAATAGTAGGTATAGTAGTCAACGAGTCACGAAGGTAATTAACAAATTCCTAAAACTAAAACTTAATTATATTACTACGATAGGACATAGGATACGTACAATTTTACTTTTAAAAAAAAACAATTTTTTTTTTTTACTAATTAGTTTAAAACGTTAATTTTTTAATTTAATATTATTATTAATATTATTGAATAATTTTTAATGCTCAATTTGTATTAAATTTCGTTGTTCCGCTTTTAAACAAATTATGTAATTTTTTTTTTTGTTTTGTCGTTGTGATGGTTCGGTACTTAAGGCTAACAATTTGTATTTTTAATATATAATTTTTTTTTTGTTGAACTATTTAAATTTACAATTTGTACAAAAAAAAACAAGATACGAAGAAAAGAAAAAATACATTGTATATTATTTTAGTGATAAAGTTATTATTATTATTATTATTATTATAACAACGCGACTATTAAGTTTGTTATAAATTCAATACAATTTTTTCCCATGGTACATTTATTTATTTGTATATTGTATATTTTGTACAAAAAAATTATGTATGTGTGTATTTATATATATATATATATATATGTATATGTATACACGTTCTGTAAAATATATTTAATTTTTTTTTCGAGGTTGATAAAAATATTCCAATAAAAAAAACATGTATTTAAAACAATATATCTACTTATGGTTGTTATTATTATTTATCTCACAAATACAAAAACTGAAATCTGATATAAAACAACAATCCCACAATTCATAACGAATAAAGTAAGTATGAGAGCTAGCAAAAAAAAAAATGTTATTATGATCGTTGTGCGTTAATGATTTTTTATCTGTTACCGTTTAATTTGAAAAATATACATTATTATCAATACAGTTAGCCGTGTGCTTGAAAAAAAACAAATTACCAATATTTTTTTAATTCCATAAAAAACGGCCTAATCAATTAACCGTTGAAAGTGCGTAAAGAAAAAAATGCAATTGTAAATTAAAAAAATGTACAAAATTTACTGTACATTGTTGAATGTTGATAAGTTTACATATTATTCTAAAAAAAAGGTATCACTTCATTAAGTCTGGAGCCTAAGGAGGCTGAAAATGATGTAATACCTCTTTATTGAGATAAGGGTTTATTTTTTTAAATCTCGAATTATTATCAGATACACCTGATATGATAAGAAAAGAGAGGTTAGAGGATTAGGTAATTTTTATTTTATTTTATATAAAAATGTTAAATGAAAAACGTGTACTTAATACATTCTAGTTTATTTATGCCAACCTTCAAAGTACAATGTAAAATTATGTATAATTTGAATCGCTAATTACAGAATAGGAAAGTGTCCATAAAACCAACATTTATAGCAGACAAAAAAAAACCAGACAAAACACTAAGTAAACGGCAGGTGTAAAAACGAATAAATTACCTTATACGTATTTTTTATTAAAAAAAAAACGCCTTCTCAATATTAAGAAAAAGAAAAAGTCAACTCCTTCATCCCCAAACCCGAGAAAAATATTTGATTTAGTTTCAGGTCAAGTTGTTTAAGCTTCACTGTGTTATTTTGACTTTGGCAGTTGCAATTGCAATTCTGTAAAAAAGATAATAATTAATAACTGATAGACCTCTATATACTACCGGGTAATGTTGGAAACCGATTTTCTTTTGAAAAGTTCGGTTTTTTTTTGTAATTAAACACACTTAACTCGAAAAATTGTCAATATTAAAACGCAATTTGTTTGTTATTTATACGAAATACGTTTAGTCGAAGAAACTGTTTATTTATTCATTCCAACTATAAACATATTTGTATTAACCGTATTTTAAGTTGGTCCAACTATTTATTTTTTTATATTTTATGCATTTTCACTAAATTGAAATCAAACCAACCTATAAGTAGAAAACATTTTCTTAGGCGTTTTGGTCTACCCACTTTTTTGCGCCACACTAATTTTTTTACTCCATTAGTTTACTCGTTTACTAGATTTACTCACTCCGTTTTCTCTCTCGTTTATTTAATTAATTTACTCAGTTACTCGATTATTGCACTCATCTACTAAATTTGTTTATTCGTTTATTTGTCTTATTTAGACGATTTGCTCACTCGTTTAATGGTTTAAAGGATTTATTCAATTTATTTACTCATTCAATAGATGTATTAACTTACTCAATTTGTTTATTCCATTTATTTACTCGTTTACTTGAATTGTGTTCCTCGTTTATTTGATTTATTTACTTGTTGACTTGATTTAATAAATCGTTTAATCCATCAACTTATTCGTCTACTATAGATTTACTCACTCCATTTGTTTTCTCGTTTACTCAATATATTCCCTCAATTCGACTATTAAATGTATTTACTCATCTACCATATTTGTTTACACGTTTATTTGTCTTATTTATTCGATATATTTGTTGACCTACTCCATTTGTTCTCTGGTTTATTCAATTTATTTAGGTATTCAAGCACTCGATTTGTTTGTTTATTACTTTATTTATTTACTCACCTACTCGATTGGTTTACTCATTTAATAAATTTATTTATTTATTTACTACATTCGATTACTCATTTACTAGATTTGTTTCTTCGTTTATTTGATTTATTTACTTATTAATTATTCCATTTTATTCGTTTGTAATAAAGCCTTTCCCTGTTCCTACATTTCTAGGTTAAGCTGAAAATCTTAAAAAAAAAACTTTCCAGTGCTTTGCAGACGAAGATTGTGCCCGTCGACAGAGCGTAATTCGTACACATCGGTTAGGTCGTTACGGTGCCCGTATCGTCATCATTATTACTGTTGTATTATATTATTATTTTTATTAATAATGATGAACAATATTATTATCGTACTATGCTTTTGAGTGGCATTCGTTGGCGTCCCACAGGGTTCGCCTTGATCTCCCGATGACACAAACGTCGGAAACGCGCACAATGGGATTCCACCGATCCGCGGTCCAAGGTCTCCCGGCCAACTGCCAATTGCCAAACTGCTTTTTTGTTTCATTTTTTATTTTATATACGGCTTATCGACAGGTCCCCCGACGGCGATCGTTTAGAAGAAGAAAAAAAACGCGGGGAAAAAAATGGTAAAACATGATTCGATGACACTTTTCCCTTTCATGAAAATTTCAACGGCCTTAACCCGACCGGTCGGCGACTAAAATAATAATATTGTACGGTTATCGCGCATCGCGTGTCCTATAACCTTTTTTTTTAAACGTTTTCCATTTTGTCGGTCGACCAGAATTTTCAGATGTACTAGTACACCTTTTGTAACCTACTTACGCCTCGTGTATCCGGCATACGGCAGTTGGTTATTAATTATTTTACTACTCGAGCGATACAACCGTAATATGCACTTTTATAAATTTGTATTGTGTAATGCAATTTGTAAAAAAAAAAAAATTCCACCTGTAGGATGATCGATTAAGCGCAAGACACAAATTTTCAGTATCATAAAATTACCAAATATATATCATTTTTAGTATTTTCCTGAGAGCTATCAACTTTTGAAACTGAAACGGGAACGTAGTATTAACTTTTTAAATAATATTATGAATGATATGCAGAAAATTTCGATTGGTCGATAACCAGTTTTGGATAATTACTTTTTAAATTGTTTAGAGTGAAGTATTGTACCTGACAATCAAAAACCGGTTATCGACCGGTCAACATTTTAAGCAAATTATTCTTAACTAAAAAAAGTTAGTTTACACGATTCAAAGGTCGACAAAGCCCTGGAAATTACTGAAAAAGGTAAATATTTAGTCATTTTGTATACTATTGTGAATTAAAATAATTAAAATTGTCAATACTCTCCGTAAAAACGAACACCCTGTATCTAATTAAAAGTACTGCCATTGTTTATAATCAGCGACAAAATTTGTTTAGAAAATTAACACTTGGGACAAAAAATGTCTCTAAATTTTGACGGCAAAACTATTTTTTAAATGTTTCCAACCATTTTTTAAAGATTTTTTATACCTACGTTTCGTTTGAAGGCATTTTCTAAAAATAAAATTTGCCAATAATTATCGCCTTTATGCAAAGTAAAATGTACAGCGACGGCACTGCGGCGTCAGTCGTGTACAGGTATGTCTAAATGTGACATCCAACACGTCATATTGTGCGAAATGAACTGAAATACATTAGGTACGGTATTTTTTCGGTAGACGTGTGTAGTTTATTATTCAAGGATGCGTTTTAGCATTGCTTGCATTCGAAATGACGCATAATAATGGTGTGTATAGCATGCATACATATACATATAGCATACTATTGAAACTTGACGTTTCCATGTACAACACGTGGTGTGTACAATGAGCAGGCACCTTATCCACTTATCGTCTACTAAAGGGCCCCCCCAATGAATTATTAATAAAATTTAAACTGCTTTTTTTGAAAATGGACGATTATTATTGATAATAATAAATTGCATTACATATTATTATTTTGTATTGTGCGACTATACTTTAAAGTACCTAAAAATAATTGTAATAAGAGTATTTGGTTTGCAAAAAATAATGTCATATTTTAACATAATATTCCCAGCCAGTCATGGGTGATCAACGGGCTATTCAATTCGTCTACACATATTCATCTACAACTTGTAGTATTAATATAATGAAAACATTACAAACGACAGCCAATAGGTACAAATAAGCTGTGGGGAGAAAGGATGCTGCAGCCTCATAGTATCACATTTTACATCCACCTTTTATACACTTGATAGGTACCTCCAAAAAAAAAAAATATATATATTACAAAATTTTTTAACGAGATAAGAATGTTTGAAAATTTCAATAATACTCTTTACAATATTGCTAAAAGAGGTCAAAAGGTTCCTTTTGGTATATATACACCGTGATCGACTTAACGTAGACACTCGTTTTCGTATTCAAAACGTTAAAAAATGGTTGGAAACATTTTTTAAAAAAGTTTTCCGGTAAAATACTTAATCCCTCGAAATATTTTTTCCAAGTGTTAATTTTCTAAAAAAAAAAAAATTGCTGTATAAAACTATGTAAGTACTTTTGATTATACAGAGTGATAACTTTAATGCTATGATACTCATTTTCTCGAAAAGCAATAATAATTTTATAGTTTTTTAACTTTAAAAGTAACTATCCAAAAGTAGTTTTCAGCATATTATTATTCTGAATTTAAAAAGTCAATTAAATTAGTGGCCTGGAAAATACTAAAAATGAAAAATATTTTGTAATTTAATAATATTGTAAAGTAACATAAACAAAAATATTTTAAAAATTTAATCTATAAAATTGTTATTACTCTCCGATAAATGAGTGTCTCTCTTTTAAATTGATCACTCTGTATATTAATTTAATATAAAATCAGAAATCATCCCTAAAAAGTACCTACTTTAACGGGACAAACATTTTACAATTTCACCCTTTCCCTTTCTCAAAAAACACCTAAACATTTACATATATTCTAGAACTTTTCTAAAAAATAGTCGAATTAGTTTCAAATTTGT